TTACTCTGTGTGACCAAGTGATGATTTTGACGTCTAGATGAAATTCTTTACATTGCTGACTTCAAAAAATTCTCTCAGTATCCTACATTCAGGGTTATGGTAATAGATCTGGCTACCCATGGAGGAACTTGATTCCCATCTGTATTAGCAAGGGAGTTGGAAGTCAATGTTTTTTACCCCCAGCCACAAACAACACTGAGAAGACAAGGACTGCTGCTTGCCAGTACTGCCATGCAATGTTACATGAGCAGCCAAACACAGGGGAAATGCTTTGTTTGCCAAGTACTGCCAAGTTCTCCTGCAGGCTCACTAACATTATCACCATCTTCCAATCACCTAATAACTTTCTTGAGAGAAATCGGCAGGAGTCATCTTTCTTATTGTATCAAAGGATCAATTCTGATTTTCTGTGTATTACTACCACTAACTCAGATGAATTGAGGAAGATATTCCTGAGATGAAATGTGCTCAGAGTTTAAATATAATTGTCTCTCACTTTGATGGACATAATTTATGCAAGCTAGCCAAGAGCATTTATATTTAATCACATAGGAAGTCTTCATTTTAGGTAGAATTCCAGTTAAAATACTAAGAACAAAATATTTTGTCTTTTTGTTTCTTCCCTAGACAAGTCTTAGTCATTTTTCTTATTAGCAGCCTAAAGTATCATACTGGTATCTAATAAAGCTCTATTTATACATATGAATTTCAGTATTTAGCCTTCCAAAAACAATGCTGGATAGATCATGCCATAAGAGCACAGTAGTAAGGTCACTAGTAGTGACTCTTCTACTTTGTGTGCACAAAACCTGACAGCTTGACTCTATAATGGACAAGAATACCCCCAAAAGAAATGCCACTCTGAAAGCATTTATTCCTGCAAAGTTTATGAGCTGATAAACATAACAAGGAATACTCAAGACATGGCCACACATAAAGGCCAACATGAAATAACGGCCTTAAGCACAGTGCATAAACCAGTGCACACTAAATGATGAACCACTCTCCTCATAGTGAGGAGTGCATGTGTGTGTGTGCAAGAATGAGCATTTTTATATGCCGCATGCATAATTGCCATCACTCAAAAATACTAATTAAAATAATTATCCAGACACTCGGGACCTTTATAGTAAAGATGTATAAAATAATATTTTAAACACCTATGACTGCCTACACTGTTGATTCTTTGTTATGGGGATCACACTGGAAGTTCAAGATGTTAGAAATGGAGAATGCTACAGAAAGAAAGAAAAAGAAATTTAATTCTTCCCAGTAAACACCTTGTAATTTGATGATACATAATGAATGATTACTAGATTTTCTTAGCAGCAAGAGGTATGTTTCGGTCACCCAAACAGTACTTCCCAAATCAATCACAAAATAAAAACCATGATTGATTGCTGTTACTCTACACCAAAAAGCAACCTATGGAATGGTGAATGGGATTACCCATGTTTCTTTGATCTTTTCCAAACAGATTTCACTCAATAAACTGCTTATATGTTTTTATAATCGCATACTAGAGGCTGTTTTTCACTGTCAGGAAAATTTCTCTGGGTGAGAACGAAGAGTAACTAAAAACAGGTCCACAGGGATTTCCTGAAGAGGAGTAAACAGCTTTTCTAGACTCCAAGGTGGGTGAAGAAAAATTTGTCTTCAGCTGTACTAAAAGGAAAAATTTCTCTGAAAGCATTGACAAATATCTTCCTACACAAACTATACCCTGACAAAACCACAATGTACACACACCTCTGCTATTAAACATTTGATGCAAGGACAATTTCTATTAAATCTTAAAGGGACACAGTCTCAGATAACAGTTGCATTCTGCCCAACTCATATTGGTTTCACCGCTTCATCCTCATTCTCCCTGAACTTGGGAGAAAACGTGTGATAAATAAGGGGGCTGAGGAGGAATTCCCTGTTATGTGGGAGAACTGCAGCAACACAGGGCTGTTAAAGACAAATGGCAACGGGACGGGATAATAGCTGCTAATGCAAGACATTATGCACAATGTGGGAAGGAGAGAAACAGGGTGAAATCTTGGGTGAAAATAATATTTTGTGAATGTATTTGTAAATTTGAAGCCATGTGTGCTTTGAAACCTATTTAAGGAACATACTAGTATCATGTCTTCACCACGACATTCATTTGTTGACATTTTAACAATAACCAGAGACTTACAAGCCCTATTCATGTCATCCTGCCACTATGTTTGAAAGGCACTGGACTTGCTGATCTACCTTTAGCCAGATTCCCTTGTGTACAGCTTTAAGGTATCACTGAAAAAATACAGAACTTCACAGGATACAAACTGTTCTTATATAATGAGAAGGCATACGATTAGCTAATAAAATACATTAATATAATATCAGGCACAGACAGAAGGAAATAAAATACATTTCTGCAGAAGAGATTAGCATAGATATTCAATGGATTAGGAAGTTTCAGTGACAGAAGGTATATTTAGTATATAAAATCTACATAATGAGAAGCAGTTGAAAAAATAGGACACCTGTCATGTGTCCAAGAAATATCTTCATAAAAAAGCTGTCACATATAAACACTTCTCAGCAACAAAACCCTCTGCAATTGAACAAGGCAAATTTAATTCTGAATGCAGAATGTGCCTCAACATGGATCTTATAATTACTAATATCCTTGAGCAACTGGATATCTACAAATTCAAACAGCACTTACCTTATCCTGTTAAATAACTCCTGCCTGACATTTATGATTAGTTGTACATACAGACTGTCAGTTTATTCTAGTAAAAGGACAGTTAAAAAGGAATACAATCAATGTGTATAAATATACCCAGAGGCAAACACCTGAGAAGGGTAGGAACTAATTAAGCTCAAGGCCAATGCTGGCAGAAGAACAAACGCTAATAACTTGGCCATGAAGAAATTCAGGTTGCAAACAAAACAACCTGATGTTTTCAGATGAAAATTCACAATTTTGTGATCAAGATGACCTGGGTATTTTGAGTAACCAGGGCTTGAGCTCAAGAGCCCGAGGATGCCCCTCACTTCCAGTTATACATCCTAAAAACACAATGAATTTTAACACTCTTGCAAAACAAACAGATGTTAAATCCTGCAATAAACCTGCTCACTGAAAAAATTACTATATTGGCTATAAATGATAAGATAAAAACACCTATAAACTCAGAAATTAATGAATTCCCAAAGGCTTAAAAATTGTTTTGCATAGTTCCAGAAGACTATTGACTCTCTTTTAAACTATCACGACTCTGAAGGATTCTTTCCAGAACAGGTAGAATTGCTGAAATCCTGTTACAACAACAAATTCTGAAAGGTCCCTTCACTTTCTACCAAAATTCCTTATTCTTGTTCCAGCCCCGAAAAAATGAGACGCGAAAAATGCTGACACACCATGTCTTACCACAATAGAAAATAAGAAATAACGTTATCATCTTTCATGCCTCATGGGACTTGTTTTTATTCTGCCTATCACAAAACTTCAAGAAGATAATACTGAAGAATAACCAGTGCACATGTGGGATACGCCAATCAATTACACACACGGCCCATTCACTGCCCTTTTCCACTGATTTTAGTAAATTTTATACACAAACCTACGGAAAACACAGACATTAAGCAAGTACTTCAGAATATTCAATGTTTTGGGTCATGGGGTACTTTTTTCCAAGCTGTGAAACTAGCGAACTTTTCACTAAGAAAATCTGCTCTAGAGAGGTGAGCCATTTAATCCTTGGGCTAGACTGATTTGTGCTTCTTAAGGAACCATGAGGAATCTGCTCTATCGTCAGTTGATCCTCCACCAGATCCATGATTTAACCTCAGCTTTTACTAATGAGTATATTTGCAGTCATTAAATACAACAGCCTTTTATTTTGAGTCTTTAGCAATACTCATGTTCACCAGAAATGCCATTTTGATCAATCCAAACTTATTTTTCAAAGTGCAGAACAAATTAATTGCTTTGCTTCACCTAAAAAAATATTTTCCTTTCTTTCTCTTCCCCCCCTCTTTTTCTTTTATCAACTGTTAAAAAGAAAAAAAAAACCAAACCACAAAATGCATACAATGACCAAATATGGATGTCCTTGATAATCATAATTTTTTCTTCCCACAATATATTTGTAATATAGCACACATGCTCAAGCAAGGAACACTCAAGCAATCCTAGTCTAGGATGCCCAGACCACAACATGACAAACATTCTCTTTCTGGACAAAAGCATTCTTAAATTCTTACAAAAACAACAAAGAAGATGGTGATCACTGCCAGTTTAGTGATCTTCTGTGTTAATTGATAATGATACCTATGTTTATCCTTAATTACTGCTGCTTTGTTTTATTAGAAATATTATTTGGGGTACAAAAATAATTTTGTTCATCAGATAGGTAGGGTTTTTTTTTCAGAAAATATCCTTTTCAGTTTCATCTACTTTTCACTTCAGACTGAACCAGAAATCAATTATTTCCAAGGTTCTAAAGTGAAGTTATTAAAAATTGCTTTATACTCTCAAAATTCTTCTTTCTTTTCTTTCTTTCTTTCTTTCAAGGAAAATACCTATTTTCAACCAAGACTTAGTTGCAACAGATGGAGGACATTTGCTAGTATAGCTTCTTTTTTTTTTTTTTTCCCACTCTAGTGTGGTTTTTTTTTTTTTTTTTTTTTTAAATAGAAGTGCTGCAGGTGGTAAAGATAATACTATTATATACATATACATATCTATATGCAAGGAAACATACATTCACCATTATATCGCTATTTATGGACTGTAAATTTCTAAGTAATTGAAAGGAAAAATAGGGCCAGCTTTTGCAGGTGGAAAGTGAACGTACTTACAGAAGCTCCAAGGAAATTTTCATTGTGCTAATGCAGTGCTACGATTGTTCAAAAAACTGAGTGGATGTGACGACTCTATAAATACACACACTATTCTTATTCAGAATTCAGGACACTGTATCTCACTGCATTCTTATTCTGCCTCATTTAATACTTACAGGCAGACTGTAAGAAGGTTCCAGTATCACTGGCACTGACATCTTCCCTTGAAGATTCAATTTTGTCAAGTAAAAAATCTTTTCTCCCACAATCCTCTCCTTTTTCATGCGCCGTACGCTGTACAGTCGAAAGCGAACTGCATAATTCCCAATCATCTCAGACTCGACGTGATTAAATTTGAATGTCTCTGTGAAGACAGGGCACGGTCCCCGCTGGATGCTGGTTTTTGCTCTCTGCTTCTTTATAGGGAGAAGAACTAGGTGTACTTGCCACGAGCTTCCACCTGTCCTGCTGTATGTTGGAATGTCTGTGACAGCTGTCACTGTCACCAAAAGCTTCTGTTCCTGTGAGTCATAGTCAAAAGTCACATCCAGTGTGCCATATTTAGCTACTGGCTCAGGATCAAAAGGTTTAGGAAGCTGTGAAGATGATCCTCGAGCTGACATATCCTGATGAAGAAGAGAAAAAAACCCAATTATTTATTTATTTATTGCATTCTATTTTTAAATCTGGCATGGAAATTATGGTTTACTCCAGACAATATGAAGGCACTATGATCTTTCTGTTCATTTCCTAAACAAGGTTATTAAGCACTGAAAGCTCAAGGAGATGGCTGGCTGGCAGTCAAGATGAAATCAAGACTTCACCTGGCCAATAGCCACCAAAAGCCAGGAGCCAACCAGACTGAACTGAGATTGAATTAAGCTGCAATGACCTCTTCTTCTGTGCCTCACATGTTAAAAAGTATATACACTTGTTACAAGATAAAACCACCTTATTTCACGTATTTTACACATGTACTTTAAAGTTCACCTATTAAATTGTTTGAAGAGACAGCTAATGATTGAGAGCACAGTGAGATGCCAACAAAGAATACAGGAATTACAAACCTTGCACACACAGCTCCTGTTGCAGTCCGCAAGAGTTATATGACTATGCCAAAAATTATCGCAGAAACACAGAAACAGAAAATTTTGGGTTGGAAGGGACCTTAAGGATCTTTTAGTTCCAACTCCTCTGCTATGGCCAAAGATGTTGCTATCATGGTTTTATTAATGAAATGTTACTGGAACTGCAGAAGATGTATCTGTTTTGAACTCATCTTCTGAACTCTCTGTAAACCATATCAGTCCTAAAATTGTATTTTAAACTTAAAATTCAGATGGTTTATTGTTACTTCAAATTTTGAATAAACTACTGATCCCCTATAAAGTTACAACAGCCAGTTGGATAGGGATACTGAAACAGAAAATATTTACAAGTACAGGTCAACTCACTGCTCATCCAAGTATGTAAAACAAAGGTATTTCAAGTGTGTCTTCACATTATCAAAGATAATCTTGTTTACATGAACAAAGAGATGCCAAGACAAAGCCTTCTGGGCTAAGAAATGTTCTTATTTTAACCTGGTCGCCAGATAGCTGTGGGAATGCATTCCTCTAAAGGCTTCACTCCTGAAGCTTTGACTGGCTATAAAAAAACGTTGGCAGCATTCTCAGTTCTTACTGAATATGCTTACATTAACAACTGGAGTGACACAAAATGGGAAGGCCTTGCAGCTGGGCCTTCCAGACCTTGCACCAATACCCAGGTACACATCATCCACTTACCAACAGGGCTGCTTAGATATAAACATCAGGGCTGAGCTCTAACACGCACTTCAAAACTTCTGGCAGCAACAAAAGACAAATTTGTACCAAAAGAGCTTCTTCTGCACATGGCATCACTAATTAGACTTCACCCATAGATGTCAGTGCAGTAACTTGTTGTTAAAGGCATTTCAATTAAATACATGTCAAAAAAGATGGTTTCTTCACAGAAAAAAATACATATATATCATTACAATTTATAGCAGAAAAATAGGAACATTAAGTGGCCCAAATCACTATACAACACCAACAATTGAAAAGAAAACCTTTGTAATTTTTTTTTAATAAAACTTATTTTCCATTATGGGATGTTAAGTTTGAAAAAGCATTAACATAACTTTTATTTGAGTTGTCTGAAAAATCATGCGGAAGAATTTTGACTACATTCCTTACAGTGTGATACAATTTTCTGACTTGTTTAAAATGGTTTAAAAAATAATTCACTCTTACTGGGAGCTGGTTTGAAAGCTAAGGTGCCACAAAGATAACTACAGCAATCTTAACAATCTGAAATCCTACTGTCATATTTTCTGACAAACTACTTTTTTTTTAAAATGAAATGAGCAGGAATATTAGTGCCTGTATAACTGGCAGCGATCTTTAGACTAAAGAAGTGCTTCACCACGCTCAACTATTTTAATTTACCTCTGGACTCAGAACTGCTGTGCTATCGCTCGGAACATCCTCTTCATATCCTTTGTTATGAAAGCTTTCTATTTCATGTCCCGTGCTTCCCTCACTTGGGCACTTATATGAACATCTTGGGCTGTTGCTACACTGGGAATATTCACATTTGCTGTCTCCGACTTCGGAAGGCGTACAGGAAAGATGAGGAGAGCCACTGTCATCCTGGTACGGAGGCGGCTGTAGTTCATCCAGCGGAGGTGTTCTTCTCATCCTCTGAATGCAGTTTGCTGAGAATAAGTGAAAATGCTTTGCTTACTTTCTGATTATTCATTGTTCAAATAGTTCTGTGGAAAATGTAAATCTAAATGCCTGGACAGAGAATTTAAAAATCTATGTATGTCTTTTTTTTTAAACTTTACATTTCAAAAAAATTTGTTCAAAACGGAAATGAATGATCTCTCAGATGAAAGAAATTTAGATAAAAGCAAAGTTTTAAGTGTATAGTCAGAATAGATTGTGCAAACCACATGTAAATAAATATAGCACGGATATGACATGACAAAAATTCAAGGCTTGAATTTCAGGGATGCTTACCTTGCAAAAATCTTTGGATATCTTAATTCAGATTCTGTGCAGATGGAATGGAGGCCAATTATGGAAACAAAATGCACTCCCTAAAGCCATGATATCAAGCTGATTACCTCCCATGCAGTTGCCCACCAGGGAGATACTAAATTAAACTCTGAAGACAAGAGGTACTAAAAAAGGTACTAAAAAAGACAACCTTTCACACAAATGAACTCTGCTCACCAGTGAATTTAAAAAGTGAAGCAGCATCTCAGATTCCTTATTACTTCTTAAGGATAACTAAAGGGTATGTATCCAGTGTCTGGAAGTTACACACTACCTCTAGTCACTAAAGACAGTGGAAAAAGGATCATGAGCAATCTTGTGCTTGGGATAAACACTTGATGCTGACCATCTTTGCTTTTCACACTAGATAGATAGATCGATACAAATATGGTTATACATCTCAGAAATTAAACCTGATGCATTGGCTACAGACACAGAAAGTTAATTCAAAATAATTACATTTCAATTTTTTATTTCATATTTTACTATGCAGCATTACACAGTTGAATGGAACTGGGAAAAGACAGCAAGGCGTGCAGCAGCTGAAATGAAAGGAATATCAAGGACAGGTAAAGAACTGTCTCATATTTCGTTGACATTTTCTGTAGCAGTTTCAATGAAGATTTCAATGCCCCTGACATAAAGAATTACCTTATACATAACAATTTCAAAACAAAAATGTTTTCTGGTGTCAAACATAACATTTCACTCACAGAAAAACCTACCAAACGAGAAAGTTAAAGAAAGTATTAATTGGGGAATGCAGGGCTCTTCTCTATTTCAACAGCTTTTAAAAGAACCATGGCAAAAAAGTAATTAAAACACTCCTACAAGATGAAACCACTGTCAGGAACCCATCAGCACCCTCATCTCTGATAAACCCATCAGAGCCAGCCAGCCATTCAGAGTGATTCCAAAATACTGTTCCAGCACTCCTGCAAAAGGTTTTCTGCTGTTAGTGAACCAGTGCTACTAACTCATGAAAATCCAGTCCCACAGGGCTGGAAAACAAAACAGACAGCAGGGAATCCTATACTTGAATTGTAGTCATCTGTCTAGCAGATAAACATAAAACCTCACCTATGAATATGAGACAACTCATACCCATGAAACTAGATAGACATAGAATCTAAACTGATATTTTAATCATAATAAAATGAAGAAGTGTATCATTTGACTGCCTATACCAAGAAAACTGGACTTCCTTGTCATAATCTATATAATTAAATATTTTAGAAAATTCAGAAAAATAGCATTTCTTCTCATTGTTGCCAAAAGGCAACAAACAGCATTCAATGAGACAGTAACCACCTGGCAGCCCCAAGTTTCTTTCTGTTCACTTGTCATCAAGTCTGATAAGAATTTTTAACACCCAGCTTTTCCATAGTCTAATGAAATGAAAGTGTGTCCAGGTAGTTATCAACACCATTATTGTCTTACATGAGTAAATAAAGGACTGTATGACTCACTTTTTTCACTTTGATGAACTCTATTATATGTCCCTGTGGGAAAACTGTACAGGCTGTGTGACAGAAAAGGTGCTTTTAATGTAGGCATGGAAGAAGTCAAGACAAAATTCTTATTAACCAGCTATGATTCAAAAATCTCAGAAAAAACTAAAACACTGGGGCAGATTTTAACTACATATTTTTCAAATTTCAGTTTAACAAACTTAAATAGCATGTAAATTCTTAAAACAAGTATCTGGGATTAAAAATCTAGAGACACCTCTGTCTAGAGAGTTATAAATTGGTTTTGAACAACAGCTTTCTCTACAAAAAAAGATATCAAAATTTTCAAATTAATTCTCAAGATGAAACTGTCTCATTTTAATTTCCCCCGCCCCACAGTAAATGATGCAATAAAATGAAATTTTTTTGTTACGGTTCTTTGAAAACCATGAAGATTTGAATTCCATCGAGACATTCTAATGACTGATGATATCAAAGCCAAATGATATCACAGACAGTAGTGAATACAGCAATACTAAATATCTGATCCTGGGTATTTTCCTTAAAAATTACTTAGAAGTAGTGACAATCTGTCTAAAAAAAATTTGTATCAAAGTACAAAACCACTGCTAGTGCTTGCTGGCTTATCACTAATTGTATTGGAGAAAAACATTTGGAGCTGAAAGGCAAAATGATCTGAAGTGTGTGCATATTTACACATGAAACCCCTGTGTGTTACACACCTTGTACCTTTTATTTAAGGTGTAAGTTTCAGACACAGCTATGCATACTTCTGTACTGTGACAAAGCCAAAGAATACCTCCCAAAGACCACTGAATGTGGCTAATAACATCTGCTAAAGAGTTACAAGTAAATGGGTACACTGAAAATCTAAAATTAATCATTGCATTGCTTCTATGCAAGTTTCAAACCACACAGAAAATACATTTTGTAAATTCATTTGTAAATTAAATAAATTATATTATATAACCACATCACCTTGGACTAGATAGGGTAAAAAAACAAGCTAGCATATGTCCCAAAAGTGGAAGTAAGACTCAATCACAGAGAAATCAAATCACGTTTAGTCTAAGGCTCCTACCAGCCAGAAAATGGCATAACAGAGAAAAGACAAATAGAAAGAAAGAAGAATAGAAAGACAGAACCTTACATTCAGTTCTCCACCCAAAGTATGCGAAAATACTTGGCATTCTCGTGATAGGAGTGAAACTAAATTTGTTTACACGCCTCTGTAGGACAGATTGCAAGTCAAAGGGGGATGATACATACCTTGCCATCAACCTCAAGAGACTCACAAGTTAAATCTGACGCAGCAACCTAGGCCAAACTGAGCATTCCTGGAACATACAATTGGTAACTATGAGAAAATCCAGAAAATTTTCAGTCATTTTACTGGGAGGGAATCAAAGTTTAAAGATACAGAAGTTTACCATCAGAAATGCTTTCAGTTTTGAGTTACTACTTGAAATTGCTTCTTCCAAAGCTGCTCATTTCTCCTCTATGTTCTGGTCTCTCATGGACCATGCCAGGCTGCACATCTCACCATGCAGCCGGTGATGTCCTTTTCCCATGTTTACAGCATTCAGACTTTCCTATCATAATTATTTTTCCCAGAGGTTCACAGCAGCAGCACCAACCCAGTCTCCCTCAGTCCATATTTCCTGAGTAATTCCAAGAACACCCATCTCTTAATGTGGAAAAAGAAACTACCCTTGTACCTTTAATTCCCCTATCTCAAAAGCCATCACTAACTACACTTCTACAGCTTCGAGTTTCTCATGTACAGTCCTTCTTTAAAAATTCACACTGTTGTGGGAGGCAACAGTATCACAACACCCCTATTGGAATCTGGCTTCCAGTTCCTTTAAAATAAATAATGACTTCATAAACCAGTAATTTTTGCAAGTCATATTTTGTAATTGTCAGAATATCTTCATACTCAAATGATACTTTTCCTTTCTCTAATATATCTCTGCTCACACTCTGCTACATAATTATTTATTTTTTTAATCAAACGTAAATTTCAAGTTTTCAAGCCTTCAAGGGGTTCTATGTAAATGTTAAGATAATTTAAATAAAACATAAAATGAAATACATGTTTAAAAATTAAAGAAACCTTTCTTATTCTGAAAGATTAAATACCCTTAGAGATTTCTGATAGGCAGCACAGACAGTCCAAATGGAATTTTCATGTTTGAACTTTTCTACCATCCAAAAATATCATGTTGACTGAATTACCCCACATTACAGGGAGTATAAATACAAACACTGAATATTGAATGAAACCTCAGGCCTCTGCTTCCTTTAAAATTAAAAGCTTACATGCATTTTTGTGAGGACAAAACTCAAATTATTTCACAGAACAATAAATTACTTAGCCATTATTCTATTTTTTTTCCAAAAGAGTTATGGCATGAGTCATGCTTAATGAAAAAAGGGGAATATAGGAGCGGTATGCGATCATTGTGGACAACAGAAAAAAAATTCTTTGTTTTTGCATTTGCGTTCCTCTTGCATTTGCCACATTTTAGACTTCTAGTCACAGCTGAACTATCTTCTACATTAGACAATTCACCGTAAACAAGAGAAAGTATAGTATTTGTTTGACTGGGGTTTTTTTCCCAGTAATAGATAACTCTGTTTCCTAGTATTTAGAAAATTCCATACACTATGAGCTTACGCCCAGACCTATGGAAATCAAAACAGCATTGCTGTCATTTACACCTGATGTTACGTGAAGCTTTTAACACTGCATTTTCCTCACCCTCTCAAGCTAATGCTACTGGTCATTCATGCAATAAAAAAAGGTTCACTTTCGCTTTTTAAATAAAAGTAATTCAAAATGATAGAATTATCTTTATGTCCAGTCCTTAAAACTTCAATTTTCTCCCACAGGAAAGGTCTAAGACCAACTGAAACACACATAGTATTTTTTTTTTTATTGTGTCTGTTTACATCTTGAACCTGTAGAATTACAGCTGTGTTTTGTTTCCCTAAAAGAGAAATTTATTCCTCGCTCTCTGTACTTACTAAAGCACTTCTTATTTTTAAGAATTTATGGTCTGTTTTACAGAGAAATACAGAAAAGCCCAGCACTAGTGAAAAAAAATATTTTTCCAAAATTAGTGCAATTTATAATATTTTAACTACAAATACATTATTAAAAGCATTATCGTGAACTA